CTTGAAGATATATTTAATTGAAAAAGAAATACAATTTATACTGTTTTAAAATCATACAATTTCAAAATTATTTATGGAATTCGCAAGGTGGTTCACCTTGCGCAGCATACAAAATTGCCTATTTCACCTTGTTTTTCTGTTTACAGTTAATGAGCTTCAGATTTTCGCGCCATGGTGCTCGCGCCTTCGCTACTGTTCTGATAATTGATTCTCTTTGAATTTATTCTGTGTGCGATAATGGGTTACAAAAGTATTTCAGTATTAGAGTAAGTTGAACTTGATTTTGATTGGCTCGTGCACCCTGTCCATAAATTGGCGCATGTCCATAAATTGACTCGTTACGTTACCAATGTCCAACGGAATCGCGGGCTTTTTAAAGTCTACGAGCTGATTGGGTATACTATAAACCTGTGTCCAATCCGATTCGAGCAAGAATTGGAATATTTTCTAAATCGGCTTTGATTCGCCAAAATAATGACCAATCCAGCAATATGAATTGTAATTTGATCCAATCAAATAAGAGTCTATTTGAGCAAAACGTGGTCAGCTTATAAACCCCATACACGTCATACGTTAAACGGGTCGTTAAGCGATGGGATTGGCTAGCTAATTGCGTTTTTATTCCACACAGGTGATTTCACGCTCCGAGAAAAACCAAGTCGGTGGCTTGAAGGCGACAAACATGGCGGACACCCGGCGGGAATATGGAGACGAGATCATGGAGGACGCGGACGGGGGGATCGCCCGCGGGAAGACAGGACGACCCCCCGCGGCAGTTCGAGTGCATTACGACGAGACGGGCCGGATGAAGAATGCGTCCACGGCACTCCTCGTGTGTAAGTTCTGCCACAAGGAAGTTGCGGGTCGCGCTGTGTCACTCGAAGGTCACTTGAAGAAGTGCCCGAACGCACCGGAAGAGGTGCGGCCGCCCAAGATCGACAAGAAGGAGCGCATGCCAGGACACTTGTCGTCGTCACATGCGTCGTCGATGGTCATGGCCATGTCCACAGCCGGGGCATTGAAGGCCGAGACGAAGCACGCGATGAAGAAACTGTGTACGGTGACGTCGTCGATGGAGAGCAAGTTCAAGAATCTGGTTGTGCCCAAACTCAACTCGATCCAGTCCTTGCATCTAATGATGCGCGACAAGCGAAGCACCCATCTCCAGTTCAAGCAACATGCCGATCGTCTTATGCGGTATGCCTTGGTGTCGTGCAGGTGAATCAACAATCTTGTTATCGAAATCATGTAGACTATTGGCCGAGGAAGCGTTGGCAACATGTGCGATGGAGTTTGCGACCGTGTGGACCCCCAACGGCGTCGAGTACTCGGGGATGCGACCCAACAGCAACGTGTGTGCGGTGCCGATCGAGCGATCGGGGGACAGTTTGCTCGAGCAAGTTCTGCAATGCGACCCCGCCGTTTCCGTTGGTAACGTGATATACACCAACCGCAGTATGCTTAGTTGTTGTCTTTACCCTTATTTGTCTGGTCGTTCTAGGCAAACTCTTGATCGAACAAGACGAATCGTCGCCTGAAAAGAGTCCCGTCCTGTTCTATTCGAAGCTTCCGCCACGCATTCCCTCCTTTGACCGTGTGTTGCTGTTGGAACCGACCCTCGCGACGGGTTGTGCCGCTGTTGTCGCTATTCGGGTATGGCATTAAGCTTAGACGAAGAGTCGTTCTATCCATATTGGACAGGTCATCTGAACGGTACCGTAGTTGCTGTTAGACGCGGGCGTGGACGAGCGCAACATTGTCCTCGTGAGTGTCGTGGCATGTCCCGTGGGCCTCACGGCGGTGTTTCAACTGTACCCGGAGGTGAAGATCATTGCGACCGCGATCGACCCCGAACTGAACAGCACCATGGACACGTCGCCGGGGCTAGGGGACTTTGGCGACCGGTACTTCAACACAATGCAAGGGCACAAGCCGCATGTCGGCCACGTCCTGTCGTCGGTGCGGCATCCGCTCGGCGGCAACGTCCTCGTCGACGAGTACTCGATAGTGTAATAATGTGGGGTTGTTTGGATTTTGAATTTGCGCGCGGGGATTTCGTGGAAAAAACCGCATTTACCGGAAACGCGCTGAACGTTGAATTCCCAGGTGTTTTGATCTGATTGGTCAAAAAGCGAGTTTAAGTCCCCGCCGTTGGTTTGCCGTCCTTTAAAACAACTTAAAGCGCCATGGCCGAGTCTCAGCTCCAAAAACTCAAATATGGCGACGAGCTGATGGAGGCAGCCGAGCAGATCGCGCGCGGCAAGACGGGACGACCGCCAGCTGCTGTCCGCATCTACTTTGAGGAGACGGGCAAGATGAAGAATGCATCCACGACCCTCCTCTTGTGCAAGTTCTGTCACAAGGAGATCGCCGGTCGCGCCATCTCCCTCGAAGGCCACTTGAAGAAGTGTCCGAACGCACCCGAGGAAGCGCGGCCGCCGAAAGGAGCCAAGAAAGAGAAAGTGCCGCGTTCGGCGTCCGACATGGCATTCGGCGGGGGCCATGGGAATGGTAATGGGGGTGTCAAAGGCGAACACAAACACTCGATGAAGAAACTGTGCACCGTCACGACGTCCATGGAGGGTAAGTTCCGCAACCTCCTCGTGCCCAAGCTGGCGGCGATTCAGTCGCTCCATTTGATGCTGCGTGACAAGCGAAGCTCACATTTGCAGTTCAAGCACCACGCCGACCGACTCATGCGGTAAGGTTCTACCGACGATCCGTGTATTCATCCATTCATGCAGGATCATGGCCGAGGAAGCGTTGGCCGTGTGCGCCGTGGAATTCGCAACGGTGTGGACTCCCAACGGCATGGAATACTCTGGCATGCGACCGAACAACAATCTCTGCGCGGTTTCGATCCAGCGATCGGGCGACTGTTTGCTGGAACAGGTGTTGCAATGCGATCCGTCCGTGTCTGTCGGTACGATCCTCCGTCCCCTCGTCTTCCACATGGACATGCTCATCGTTGTTTCGTCAGGTAAACTGCTCATCCAACGCGACGAAACCTCTGCGGAAAAGACCCCCATCTTGTTCTATTCCAAGTTGCCGCCGCGACTCCCAACGTTTGACCGCGTGTTGCTTCTCGACCCCATGTTGGCTACGGGAGGCAGCGCCATGATGGCCATCCAGGTACGTATATATCCCATTATCGAACCCCCCCATCAACGTGACACGCATGTGTGTGTGTTTGTCGTAGTTGCTCCGGAACGCCGGGGTCGACGAAGCCAACATCGTGCTGGTCAACGTCGTGTCGTGTCCTGTCGGCCTCTCGTACATCTTCGACACGTTTCCGTCCATCAAGATCCTCACGTCTGCCATCGACCCCGACCTGAACGCCAACAAGTCGGTGCTGCCAGGCCTTGGTAGTTTTGGTGACCGCTACTACAACACGACCAACTAACTGGCTCGTACACATTCGAGTATATATATATATATATATATATATATAACTATGGCCGCCGTGAAAACAATTGCAATTCTATCAATAATCAATCACACACAGTATATTATTGTCAAATTGACCTAATCGATTAAAGAACCGCCTGAGCCAATCAAATCACGTCATGTCAAATTTCTGCCAATCCAAACGTTTGACCCCTCCGCATTGGGCAAAACTATTTATATACTCATCATTGTATAGTATAGTGTGTACAAGATTAAATAATATCAAACTCTACCAAATTTGGGTGAATATATATATCACTTTCTTCGTATGCTTGCCGTTTTTGGCGGTTACATGTATCATCCATCTTGCGTCGTTGAGGCAGCAGCATTCCATCTTCCATGGAGCGACCGCCGTCCTTGTATCGACCCGCCCGCAATTCGACTTATAACTTTGTCTCTCCTCGCACACCATCGCGTTCGTCCCCACGACACACATATGATGACACTGGGATATCTGCGACAGTGTTGGACGCGATCGTCGCCGGCGTCCTCGAAGCATGGGCCATTCGATTGGGCCAAGAAGAGTCGTCGTCTTTTTCACTCGACCCTGCTTCTTCTGGCCATGAGGCAGTAGGAAGTCCGACTGTCGCTGACCGCGTGCGCAAGTTGTGGCAGGCGGTGGTGCGGCAGTCTCATGACGTGGCGAGTCCTCATGCCTTGCCCAACCCAATCTGCACGGCCATTTGCGTCGAGATCCTCGTCGAGGTACAGTCGACGGTTGGACGTCGTCTTCGCAGGGATGACTTGGACATAGGTCTTGCATGTGGTGCTGCCACGTCATTCTGGCCTCGCCGAGGTCCTCATTGGCGGACTCGTTCATTCGATTTATGCTACGTACGACCCGTCCAAGTCGTACTACGCCAACAACATGTATGCCCATGGTACGTACGCTCTGGTGGTTACCTCGTTGTCAGTTATACTACTACTACTAGATGAGAGATTCTTACCTTGGACGAATATCCATAAATAATATATATATATATATATATTGAGGATTCTGTACGAATTTCCAGACCCCGTCGAATCGAATCACGAATCGACGCAATTGGCTAATCCTTTTTTAGTGGATGATTTGATTGGCTCTTGCAGAAAGGACTAGTACATTCAACCAATCACAACTCCGGCATGATTATATGAATTAGACAAACAACCACTCTGAATTTTGAACGTTTCTAGCGAATTTACAATATATATTATGTATATGTAGCTGCTGCACCTTATTACACTATATGTAACATATATAGCCGGCCAAGACAAGTCGACGGTGTCTGTAGTTCAAGCCACAGTGCGGATGATTTACACTGTACGACGACGAATATGATGGCGATAGAATCAAGCGCCATATATGTACGGGTTGGTTGGCTAACGTTCGTTGCTTATGGTAGCTGTATAGCCAACTAGACCCATCTACGCAGCGCTCGGTGGCGACGGATCTCGTCAAGCCCCAAGTAAGCACCGACATGCTGGGCGATCTGTGGGACGTGCTCATGGGCACGCTGCCGACGCGGGACGAGGCGGCGGGGCACATGGCGCTGCTCTCTCGATGCTTTTCGTCGCTCCGTCGACATGAAAAGTGCCAACTCCTGCCGCAGCTCGCGTCGTCGTTCATTCCACGGCGCGTCGAGGAATTCCTTCCGCCGACGAATTCCCATCAAGATCCAGACGACACGTTCGACGTCACACCGACTGCTTCTTCTCCGACGACGACGGGTACCCATCACACACAACCTCCTCCACTCTGTCGCAGAAGCCAGCGCGGGTCGAACATTTTCAATCCCCGCGAATATCGGAAAGCATCGTCGAGGCTGGGCAAGTCTTCGCTGGTACGAGGAAGCCATCAACTCATGGTGCAACGCAAACCGTCCGAGGTGCGAAAGGGGGGCACGGCGCTGGGGGTAGCCGCCTTTCGCCGCAAGTCCACGCGGGTGCACGACGTCGTCCTCCCGCCAGACCAGCTGCACGGAATCTTACCGCTTGTGGGGTATCATCACCACCACCACCCACGGCAGAGCACGGCGCCGCCACCTCTAATGACCAAACCTTCGTTGCTGGTCCAGTACGAAGACGAGCCCGACACGTCGGCCGAGTTGCTTGAGTTTCTTGACGAGTTGGCGGACGATTTGAAAGAGATCTACGCGTTGCTGCGGGTGGGGGAGTACCGTAGCCAGCAGAGCGGGATGCACGACTTGGCGCAACTGCTGACGACGCGGCTGCATGTGACGCTGGATGACGACGGGATGAGCGACCCCAAGGACAAGGAGCGGACGGCCGTGACGACCATCGTCCAGATGCTCAAGGCCCATCCGTCGGCGCTTGGGAGTGTGTTGAAGCACGTGCCTGACTTGGTTGTCGACACGTTGCGGGTACAGCAAGGGATCCTCAAGTATGTCATGGTGCATTGTTCGTGGGTGGTCGGGCAGTTTCTCAAGCTAGACGAGGTTGCAGCGGACACGTGGCAGGCTATCGTGAAGGCGCAGTCTGAGAAACAACTGACGCTGCTGTGGTCCACAGATCAGGACGCGGGGACCGAGGAGGAGGAGGTGGTCGTGTCACCCGTCGAGGCGGCGTACCAGTGGCTGCAATCGCATGTAACTGACACGGCCAAAGTGCTGCTGCTCAACCACGACATGGCCAAGCATATCTTTGCCGCCATGGAGCGCGAGGTGGAGCTGGCGGCCAAGGGGGCGACCAACAAGGGGCTGCGCCTCAAGATGCTGCTCACAGAACTGGACGACTTGCCCACGTTTCAAGCGCACACCCACTTGGCGACCCAGAAAGGATTCGAGATGGCGATGAAGCACGACATGAAGGGCATGGTGACGTTGCTCACGATCATCTTGTCCAACAACACCCATCTGAAGGACCTGGTCACGTCCAACGTCGAAGTCATCGCGGCGCTGGCCATGCACAACAAACATGCGCTCATCAACCTGCTCAATTCGGACCTCGTGACGTGGAAACCGTTCTTCATGCAGGCGATGACTCAACACGCGTTTCTTCTCACCGACTGGTATTCTTATTTTTGTCCATTTACCCAAAATTTGGACTTTTATGCTGATTCGCGAAAAATCCATCATCGATTGATTGGTATCACACTAAATGAAGTCACACACGAATTAAACGTTGATGTTGGTTTCCTGCAATCTGATTGGCTCGACTTCCTTTTACGCAAAATTTGGACTTTTGTGTTGATTCTTTGCCAAATCTATCGATCGATTCTTTGTCCTGACGTTTGTATGTAAAGATCGTCCAGTATCACACTAATTTCAGCCATACACTAATTCGGTGTTGTTTTGGTTGAAGAAGAGTGGATTTGATTTGCTACCTTGATTCGTGTTCTGGGTTTTGATTGGTCGATAAACGATTGTTTGCCGATTTGGAGCTAATTTCGAAAGATCAAAATACTGACTGTATCGCAGCAGACCCACGACAATTGTACTTATGTTTGTAGCTTGATGGCAAAGGTACGAACGATCACATCGGGAGCGAGCGAGCTTGGACAACGCCGTCTCGAATCCCCCCCGTTGTCATACTATCAGTTGTATATAGTACACGTTGTTTCAACGTGAGAGTTGGTAGACCAAACATTTGGGTGGTGGGGACCAGTTGATGGTCGCGTATCATTCGGTTTTGGACGGCGTGGCCGGGCGTTGGGTTACGGGTACGTTGTGTTGTACGATGTGTTCCAAATCATAGTGGAGCATGTGGGTAGATGACGCGGACCGGTCGTCGGGGGTGACGTTCAAGCCTCGCAGCCACTTTACCAGGGCGGTAAGTGTCCTTCGTATTGCAAATCGTCGCGGCAGCCGGGCGTCGTCGTCGGAAGGGACGGTCGAGGTCGTGCATGCAACGGACGGAAAGGACAAGCGGTCGATGGCGGGCTCGCCGTCTGTCAAACGAATGGCCAGCATGCGACAGCGGCAGATGCTGGATGGGGTGCCGCGTGCGTCGGTCGTCCCTGGCGTGTACCACATTCCTTGGATTTGGAAGACGTTCCTCATCGACGCCGCGTTGGAACGGCCAACGATGCAGCAGGATTCTTGGGGCCGACGGGAGCTGAAACGCTTCATATTGGACATCCTCATCGAAAAGATCAAGCTCGACGAGCTCGAGATTGATGAGGACGTCGTGAGCGACCTGTCCGTGTTTGTGTGCGATTATCTCACGACCAAGCTGCAAAATCGAAGGTATGTCATGCAACGTACACCTTTGAGTGGGCTATCATGGTGATTGCCGTCGTGTAGCTTGGTAAGCTTTCAACTGCAGCAGCTCGTGAATGGATTGCAAAAGCATATCGAAGATCCTCGGGTGTCGTTCTTTGCCGCCGCGTGCGGCGTCAAGCAACTGCTCCGACGGGGGGTGTTGCATTCATGCCTGCGTTCGTTGTCCCACTTGCTCTTTGGCGAGCTTCGGGTTTGATTGTGCACGCATATCGTCCACTCGTCTTGACAAGATTCTCAACGCATCCTAGATCTTCCGGCAAGACAAACGGCTGCAAGAACTCGTGGATGGATCATGCGTGGTGCCAGTGGCGGCTGTCGAGGCGGCAGCGCGGAGTGTCTTTGCGCAGTGCTTGTCTTCGGAAGAGATGGATGTCGTCGTGCATCAGATCGCATCCCTGCGGCGCTTCCCCGCCTCAGACATGTACTGTTCTTGGCGCGCGATTTGAAAAACTGCACAAATGACACACATTCGGATCAAGAGTGAATGTATTTGTAGAATTTTTAGAGAGTGAATGTATTTTGAGATCTTAGATCGAATGAGTTGAACCACGTCGACCTGGACGATGCTATGGCAGTGTACCTGCAGCAATGGCAACAGATCGAAGGGCATATGGACGAGGTAGGCATGGAGTCCTCTACTTACACCACCCACAGCTGATCGTTCATGTGATGGTAGCAATTCATCCTTGCGTTCAACCGCTTCCGAGGTGCGAACCAAGACTTCGTGGGAATTGACCAGTTTGTCAAGATCGTGACGACTGTGACGCGGCATGGCGTCAGTGTACGGGACTGCCGCCTCATCTTCTACGACACGGGCAAGGAAATGATCGACCTCAACACGATCCTTCGACTCATGCAAGAGTACGACCTGCGCATCTCCCTCTCGCATCCCAAGGTCATGCTCGACGAAGCCGACTTTGACTGCATCCGGCAATGCCTGGGCGTATCCAGCGTCCTGTCCTTCGAAGACGAATTCAAGCAGCTCGTGGCATGTTGGACTGAGGTGAAACCGAAGATTGACAAGCAGATGGCGTCGTTGCATCAGACCGATGAGACCAAACGAGACCTGGCATACCATCTCCAAGCGGTGGAGGACTCCCTCGCGTACCTTCGGTCGGGCATCGACACACCATCCATGAACTCTACGTGGGAAACCTTCCGCAGTTCCATCGCCAGGTACTTCCTCCATCCTTCCTGCACACGAGAGCTATCGTTATCATCATCCCTGTGTGTGTTGTGCGAAGTTTGCAAGCAGCTGTAAACGCCCAGCGGAGCTTCAGCATCCTGTACGTACAATGCCACGTGCGAAAATGGGTGTCCAAGCTCAAGCGGCGCAAGTCGGAGCGGCGATCGTTGATGCTTCAATGAGGCAATCCCGTCGCCACTGCAAGCAATGGTACTTCCCCCTTGCGACGAACACCTCTGCGATGACCAGTCAATGCTCATCCCCGCCAAAGAAAGCAACATGTGCCTCCCCCAACTTGAATCTTGATATTACCCCTTCTACTGTACCTACACCAACGTGGCGGCTTGAGATGCACCAACAACAATGGAATCGTGTTAAAGAGTAGATTCAGGCACTGAGGTGTGTATCTGACGAAGTCGTGCAAGAGAGGCGTCATGTTCGACTTGACGGCTTATTGCGCTTCAGCCAAGTAGTCCTTGACTTCGCTGGGGGTCAACACGCGGAACTTCTTGTCGGTGCCGATCACGCCCACTTCAATGTTATGTTCGTTCATTTCGCCTTCAAAGCCATCGCGCATCGTCAACAGGGCCGTGTTGATCGCGTCTTCCAATTCAATGTCGTCCGCGTATCTCTACTCGAAAAAGTCACTCGTGAGGATTCGAAGACAAGCATGGAGGGAGCGTACTCGTTCGAGGAACGTCTTCTTCGTGACCGAGTCCTTGCCGATCGCCGTGGCTTTCCAGCCAAAGTACGATCCAGATGGATCAATTTGGTACAACTGAGGGCCTTCGTCGTCGTACCCGGCATACAACAGCGACACTCCAAACGGACGCACGCCACCCGACTGCGTGAATTCTTGCATGATCGCCGCGATGTCTCGCACCAAGATGGACGCAGGAGAGTTCTCCTACAAGAGATCATATGTCACATGCGTACATACACGACGAGGGGTTTACCTTGTACTTGAGGAAGTACGCCTGGGCCTTCTTGCGCGCCTTTCGCACAAGGACGCGGTAGTCCGGGCCGAGACCGCTGTAGATGACCCCCGCGCTCGAATGAAGAGTTTCAATCTTCTTGTACGCCTTTTCGTCGACCAAGATCGTCGGTAGCTTCTTCTCGGTGACGATCACCACGCCGTTCTTGCAGCGAATGCCGAGGGTAGCATGGCCGCCGTTGTTGACTGCGTTAAGGGCATATTCGATCTGAAGAAGCTTCCCCGACGGGTTGAACGTCGTCAAACTGAACGAGTATGCTGAGTCCGCCATGTTCAATGATCCTACGCATCAGCAACACCATCATGCATGAGGGTTCCCGCATCATCAGCATCACTCCTCGCGTACCTCAAATCCTGAATTGGGATAGCTGAAGAAGATATCCTCGTCAAACCGAATACTCGTTTCCAGAGGTATTCAATTTGAACCCCTCACCGCCGCGCTGCTTCTATCGAGGGAAATGCTTCTTGTATCAAGGTCACATTCAACCTCTTGTATCAAGGGAAATGTACCTGAATCGAGAATTATTATCCGGACACAACGATATGCTGCTGCAATATGCCCGCGGCGCGCTGCGCGGTGTGTGGAACTGGTTCTTTGAGACCCCCAACTGCCTCTTCCAGGTAGACTCGATGGCGAGTGAGCTGCATGAGAAGACGACCTTCCTTCTATTGTGTAGCTGTTGTATGTATCCTTGCTCGTATCATGCTACTACTGCCTTGTCACCGAAGTGTGGCCTTCCGTTGGCATTGTGGACAAGTATGTAACTCTATGTACACGTAATGTAGTGTACATACAACGACCTGTGTACAATGAAACTGACGTAGACTCATGTCGGCTGTATTCGGCGTCCTGGCATTGGAGCTGTTCGTCGTCGTGTCATTCATTGATCCAGGCCGCATCACGCGCGACAACGTGAACCACTTCAAGCGGTATCCGTCCCATAATGTGCTCTATCCTGCGGGCAAGACATGCTCCACGTGCCACACTCTCAAGTAGGTCTCCCTCCCATTTCCTCGTCTAACGTCGCCACAGGATTCCTCGGTCCAAGCACTGCCGCGTATGCAACCACTGCGTCGCCCGCTTTGACCACCAGTATGACACACACGACTCCATGCGGCATACATCCATTTCAGTAATACCATGTCATTCTCATGTGTTGCTGTAGCTGCAGTACGACTCCTCCAGCCAAACATGTCCTTGGTTTGAACGATCCATCCTATCGTAGTTTGGGTCAACACATGCGTGGCAGTCCACAACTACGGAGCGTTCTTTGGCTTTCTGGTCGTGAATACGATGGGTGCGGCGCATTTGCTGTACTTGACCATGCGCAGTTTTGTGTTGAAAGTAAGAGCGAAAGGCTGCATTTTGCATGTTACACTTGAGGCATCATGGTACGTACTGTAGGTCGACGCTGTCCTTGGTCCATCGTCGTCGGCGCGGTCTGTGGACGATGTCAAGCAGCTCCTCACAGAACTCCTTTCCGTAGGCTAAGTTTTCCCTGCTTCATTAGGCGATCATACATCGTAGGTGAAGCCAGGACTTACCTTTGTCGCTTCTATGAGTGCCATGGTGTGGTTCCTCGTCAGCTGCTTGATGGGGTGCCAGCTCAGCCGGGTGTATCGCAACTGCACGACCAACGAACATTTCAAACGACAAGACCTCCATGCTTCCCTGTGTTTGTCTGCTGGTGATGACAATAATGGACGAGATAGCGATGCCCACCGTCCCATTCACCTGGACCTGGCGTGGGGAGTCCTCGACCTTCCATCCCCCCCTTCTCCATCTCGTCCTTTTCGGCGCGCCGCGCCTAAACTGTCGGCTGAAGCTATTGACTGGAATCCGTACGATGTTGGGCTTGTAAACAATATGCGAGATGCGCTGTATCCGTCGTCGATAAAGCTAGACTAAACTGTTAAAACTGTTGTCGATATACCATGTTTGTTGATGTGGGGGAAGTATGTTTGTACATATAATAACGTTATGTGTTGTTTGGATTGCAAACTAATACGTAACGTTAGTACTAGTAATAGTCCTACTAAACCTAATACTCCAGGACGAATCCAACCGGGATCGAACTCGGGACGAGTTGCTCGCAGCTATATTGCGTACTGTACAAGTATTACATGTAATCACCACAGCCGGGAGACCAAGTAGGTAGCATGTCTCGGATAACTGGGCGCTTAACGTAGCTTAACGCACACAGAACTAAGAAACGACGCCGATGTGTCGTTGTTTTGATCCTCATCGTCTCCCCATAGAATCCTAGACAGATGCCGATCTTCAGGGATCTAGGTCCGAGTCGACGCCGTCGAATGCGTCAGACAGCATCCGTGGTATACGTATAGTCAAAGCACATATTTTATCTCGATTGCCAAGCGAAACGTTGCTTGCAAGGACAACTCCCATTGCGTGAGCACCATCGCTGGGCAAAGTGATTTCCCGCCGTGGATGAGCATCCGAATAATATTTACTTATACGGATATTTGTGAGCAGAACGCCAACGCATTCGTACAAAACAATTATGATATTCCGTTCGAACTGCATTTGACACAAAAAGCATGGTTCGGAGCAGAACGCGACCGCGAACGGACACTTGCAAAACCTCTCTATTGACTTTTCACATCAGAACCTAGGGGAAGCGTGGGTAGTTGAGGGCAAAATGCACAATGAATTAACTGAGGATCTACTGAGAGCTCCTTAGTCCTCATCTGATATCTTCTTCGTCTACTTCACTACTTCTACGCTGATATGCACTTTTGTAGACAATGGATGCAGGTGCGGTTGAGACCTTAGGGGACTTCACTAGGCTAGCAATTCTAAGCCATACATGCCCTTGAGCCACATCCCCAGGCAATCATTAGCTAGGGTGCGTCATGGACCAGGCACCTAGGAGGTGGGTGCGGGCAAGGTAGTGGCAAGGCGTCACCCCCACCTGCCATATCGCTACATTCTCTCCCTGACGTCTTGCTACACCTTGAAACACCTCGACTCCAAGTCTTAAACAAGCTGCTTGAAGTGAAAAACATGCTTGATGTCCTTCATCAGCTCCCGCGCGGCTTCGCTTTCGAGCAGTCCATGCTACTTGACCAATTAGTACAACTTGCGATTTAACTGGCGCTTCTGGAGCAGTTTCTCGGTATTGTACATTTCTTACGTCCGTGGATTCGTCGAGAACAACAGGAGTAGCTTTCGGGATCAGCCGGTATGCAAACTTGGCTTCGTCAGGCTGGTAGTGTGGTAGTGTTTAAGTTGATCAACGTTGAACACGTCATACACACGTAACATCGAGCCAGGCAACTTATGGCGCATGGGGTTGTTATTGATGGCTTAGACTATCTCAATCGGACCGATAAATCATGGAACCAGCTTGGTACGCTCGGCCTTGTCGAGCATCTGGGCATGCCTTAAAGACAGGTTGCGAGTCGTTAACAGCAATTGATCGCCTTACTTGAAGGTCACATTCAAGCGGCGCTTGTCATAATGCTCATTCTGACGTTTCTGGGCCTTTGCCAAGAATTTTGCGGAACATCGCAAGGAAGTTATTCGAATGGCTCACGAGAATTTGATGAAGGAACATCGCATGGAAGTCATTCTTGGACAAGGAGCCGCTCACGGCAGGGTTGCGCAACTTGCTCTCTGTGTCGACTTCGAACGGCGTGAGCCGGTTGATGCTTGGACTAATCCTTGGTGGGCATACTCGATCTTTGGCAAATGATCGACTCATTCTTGTCCTAGATAAGACACTTGACATCTGAGCGCATCTTCGATAGTTCGATTCTGACGCTTAGTCGCTCCATCGGCTTGAGCTCTGCCGGCGGTGTTATGGCTTGGTGGATACCTGTAATCTCCATGAGGGACTCCCAAAACATGCTGGTAAACTCAGGCCTCCTAAAATTGTCGCTTACGACAAATTAAACAGATTAGCTTATTTTGTCGTCCTCGCCAGTATTAGTTTGTCGTCTTACACATAAACGCAGTTTAAGGAGGCAAACAAGTCCATTTTATGGCGCAAAAGACGTCGTCGTGATGTTTATAGTACCGGCATCACCGCTTTCTGTTTGGCCTGGAAGATACCTTCCAGGGACAGATGCATCATGTCCGTGCGATTCTCATCCATCTCCCATTTGAGGATGGAGAAATCGCTCTCGACAGCGACGGTGTTGGCGAAGACGGTGGCCAGGCCGCCACTGAAGGCGCACAGGTGGTTGAACTTCCCAGGACAGATACCCCAGGCGTCGTCGAACGTCGTGTTCTCGTTGTGCGAGTCGATGGCTGCGCGCAGAATCTCGTCGTCGTGGTAATACTTCAACAGTGCGGGGATGGTGTACTTGGCAATCTGGCGGACGACAACGACTTACTCGCCCGGGTTCAGCTCATCGTAGCACTTCGTGGCGAATGACCCTTGGTCGTGGATGTGTGCGACGATCGAGTCGACAGGGATGCGCATGGACTCGTACACGACGTCGTCGTCGTCGTCGATGGACTCACCCTGTTCGACGATCGCGACGTCGAGCATGGCCGCCAGCGTGCCGACCAGCGCATTGATGTGCGATTCCTGTTGTGCGATGAGCAGCGACCGGCTCTGCAGAATGGTGATCGTGACGTTGATGGCATCGATGATCGGGGCAATGCTGAACGTCACGAGCCACCACTCGTAGGTCGGCGCGTTGTCTGGACGGTTCTCGACGCAGTATGCAATCAGCTGCCGGCGATGGCTCTTCAAGAACGTGAGCAGGCGGCCGAGGTGCGACCACCGGTTTGTCTGCTTGGGGCACTTGACGTTCATGCGCGTGGTTAGGTTGGCCTGCTGGCGTAGGAAGACTGAGAAGGACCAGGTGAACTTAATCCACGTGCCGTACGCTACGCACTCGGCGGCCTGCTTGACGATCAGGTCGATTTGGTGCGGTGCGCACCAAATCCGGAGCACTGGGTTCTCGGCGGTCGCTACGATGCGTGTGACGAGGCCGCGGTGACGACCCGTCATCGTGTTCTCGCCGTCGGACGACATGCCGATGAGCTTGGTGCGCCACGGCGGGTAGAGCGCATCAAGAAACTTGACGAGCATGTTGAAGATTATCTCGGCTGTGTGGCGGTCGTACATCGGAATGGCGACGAGTGGAGGTTGTAGAGCTTGTGGCCGAAGCAGACTCGCACGCGCAGGTCGAAGAAGGACTGGCCGCGATGCGTGCTGGAGTCACCGGCCAGCGACATCGCCCAAACCGACTCGTGGTCGAGTACGTCAGCGATGTGCTGCAGGCTGGTGCCGACGAGGACGCGGACGTACTGTCCGACAATGAGGTCATTGGCGCCTGTCAGCTTGGCAGTGTGAGTGCGAATCTTGGCGTACTGGATGGCGCTCGCGACTTGGCGGAACGACATGCCGATCCCGACAAAGTCCATGGCCAACTCGAAGCGCATCACGTTCTTGATGGTGATCGTGTATCGATCTGGATCGTCGTCGCTCCGCACGAACAGCTTCATCGTGTTGAGTTTCTGCTTGGCGATCTTGGCTGCCTTATTGGTTGCGGCGTTCTCATCCATGCTGTCGCTGTCGTGCTGATTGATGATGGCGTCGTTGCGGAAGAACATCTCCCCGATGATCACGTCCACGATGGTTGCTTTAACAGAGAACGTCATCTTGTCGGTGGACAGGTCTATATACCGGTGAAGCGTGTTGCTCACTTGAGTTGGCCATCAAATAATTTCTTCTTGTCCTCAATCGACGCCGCCTGGTACTCGGTCCAGGGTGAATTATGCTGACCCGAAAGATGGCTCTTGTATTTCGCCGCGGTGAACGGCGCGGTGTAGTAGTGAGTGCCCGATCGCGCTTTCCGCTTGCGGTTGTTGCTCGGCCCGACCTCGGCTGCGTCCCGGCCGACGTACTCATAGAACATGCAGCGGTACGTGACGACGCCGTTTCCGGTGGTGTTTATAAGCTCCACGGCGTACGTGAGCTTGTTGGAATCCTGAAAGGGTGTGTTCACCTTCTTATTGGGCGGCATGAGGTCTCTGGGAGTCGCTTTTGCTGTGTAAGGCCCGTGGAATCGCGTTTGTGCAATGTAAGAAGGCCGATCAGGGCTTCCTCTGCTGAATTATAAAAAACCTTAATTTGTCGTCCCTCCCAAACTTAATTTGTCGCTTTCTTGCGCTATTTATAGCAAAACGACAAATTTAGGAGGCCTGGGTAAACTTGGAGTCACGGTCGCTCATGATCTTTGCTGATACTCCTTGGTGGCGAAGAACATGTTCGAAGAATTCCTTCACCGTTTGGGGTGCGTCGACATCTGATCTCGTCGGGATGTACTTTGGCCGCTCGGAGAATACCACGACCAAAATGGCATCATGGCTTTTTTGAGTCCGTCCTTTCACTTGAAGGTTTCACCTTTCAGCGACTTTGTCCCTGGGTGTTTTGCGTATGCCTTCACAAAACGTTCGTTCGCTGTGGTGTCCATCTCGATGGTGCTAAAGGACACTCGCATCGACTGGTTCACTGTTAGGCATAGAGGCACTAGCACTCCTTTTTGCTGCCCCAACTCCTGCCCCCCAAATTGAGAGTCGACAATGACGGCGATGCCACGAGTCATGCAGGCGGAGATAACCGAGGCATGGAGAAGAAGTCGATTGATGCCCGCCGCGACTGAGGCACAGTAGATGATGCCACACGCGTGGATTGAGTGCTGGTGAACGGTGGAGGTGGCCTGTGGAAGCCGAGACAAGACATCAGCTACCACATTCAACTTGACCGGGCGATGATGGAAGGCAAAGTCGAAACAACTGAAAAGCTCAAGCCAACGCTTCAACTTGGGTCTAAGGACCAGCATTGTCATGAACCACTTGCTGCAGGAGTTGTCGGAGTATACATTGAACGGATTGCCATGCAGGTAATGGCGCAATTTGAACTCAATCGTGTACGTTCTGCCATGGGGAAAAATGTTCCTCCAGATACGAACGCCAGTATTCGCACAAGGTCCAAGGGCTCACGCATCGGCTCCACGTCCGTTGCTGCATCTGGTTCCAAGTTCGCAAAAAACAATCTGTTTTGGTTGGCACGACGAACTACATGGATACTACGGATAATGTATCCGTAGAAGGCAAAAGAAGGACTCCAACCGGGATCGAACTCGGGACGGATTGCTCGCAGCTATATTGTGTATTGACTTTTCACATCAGAACCCCTTGTGGCTTCAGCCGGTTAGTGATGAAATCGGCAGGGGTAGGGCTGGTACGGCTGCGCCACAAGGGGTTCTGGTAGGGTATGATAAATACTCAATAAAACCAACTTTTTGATGTTTTGACCAACATTCGCACGTCTGAAACCGCCACGACCGTTTCGTACTCAGGAATGCCATGATCCCAGCCAGACACGGTCAGTATGCGTCTGCAGGTTGCCTCAAGCGCACATAGAACCGAACGTTCGTGCATGTTGTCATGAAGATGACATTGACACAGTACTCTCTCTACCTGGGAGATATATTTGTATCCAGCAGAATATGGCACACGTCGAGTGTCCATCGCCACATACTGGGAAGTACAGAAAGCAACGCCCACCTTGTCTTCGACTATTGCGATAATTGCAATGTCTGATTGGCCACTGAAGTTCGAAGTTCGACAGTTATTTTAGCCTATCACAGTCACTTTGAAATTTTTTAATCGAATTGAGAGGTAATAAAATTTCACATCTCACATTGCAGGAAATTTGCAAAGCAAACACATTGTCACAATCAATTGTAGAGGTCATAAGTATTACAAGGAATATTGTAACATGAACTTCGAGTGGTACCGTAGTCAAGGAGTAAGCGTAAGCGTTCGGCGCGATAGCTCAAGTAGTAAAACGTGTTGGGCGTCTTGTGTTAGCCCCGGGTTCGATTCCCGGGCGCGGTGAACTTTTTTCAAAAAAAGATATTCGCTTTGAAAATATCCTAATATTCGTATACAATAAATAAACACAACGAATAATTTTATTGGTTTGCATTATGTTCAGGTGTTGGAATGGCCTTCTCGAAGCTTCGACGGATCAGGGTCTTCAGAGACCATATCCCACGCAGAGATGGCACGATGCACCATGGCCAGGCGCTTTTTCTGAGCGGTTAGTGAGTACGGATCTTCGTCGTCGCCAATAATCTGCTCCTCCAGGAGCCGCAAGTTGCGGAGGTTGCACTTGAAAGGCGCCATGACTCCCACGTCGAGCGGCTGGTACACGGACGTGGAGTTGGGGGGCAGAGGAGCGTACCGAATTCCTGGTACATGATCTTGTACGATGCCGCAGAGACGTGGCACTCGAAGTTGTCCATGAGAACAACGGATGGCTCTTCGATGCTCTTCCCTAGCACCCCCCGCAGGTACTGAGCCCAAACACGTCCATCCATCCAGGCCTTGGTTTGAACAGCGTAGTAGTGTTCGCTTGGAAAAGTTGGGAACTCCGAGGACTCGATCCGACCACCAGGTGTGCAATGCATGATGAACATCAGCGGCAGTTTCGTTCCGTCAGCCCGCACAGTCAGGACTGCCGTCATACGCATCGAGTGTTTCTCACCAGCGGAGATCTTGGAGCTTCCGCCACGAACTGCCCAGATGTAGCTGGGAGGTAAGTCGTAGTACATGCCAGTCTCATCCACGTTGAACACGCAGTCCTTAGAGTAGGAGGCATACTCGTGATGGAAGTCACCGGCGAATTCTGCAGTAACCTCAGCCAGCACGGTTTGCTTGAGCTTGTTCTTTGTGGGACGTTGACGGGAGAAGCCGTGGCGCTTGAAAAATCGCTGCAGTAGCTTGAGCAGTGAGTTGTAGGCAGCATCAGGCTTTTTAGTTGCGAGGTAGTTGAGCAACACTCCCTTTGGTTCACTTTACTGTTAATCCACGTAATCATCTGCGTGGTGGTCAAAGCACGTTCACTATCGCGAGCATGAGTTATGAATTCAACTAAACCTGGAGGGTCAGGGAATTCTTCGTAGCGGCCACCTGGCTCGAGCATATTGTTTTTCTTATTGCCGTCGTACGTCACTAGCTCGAAGCGCTGCGCCAGCCAGCTGCGAACGGTGCGCCGAGGGACTTTCAGTACTCTCGCCACCTCGCGACAGGACATAGACTCGAGGAGACCGATTGCTACAAGCTTGGTAGAAATCGGATATTGCGTACGCCGGCGCATGTTTGGTTGTGTGCGGTGATGTGTGGATTTTGACAACCACAGACGAATATTTTAATTTGAAAAGCGTGCGGGCGCGAAGTATTACAATTCCACCAATTAACGCGAGCATTTTGGTGTTTCATTTTGATTGGATAATTTGTTTTGTGACACACTAATATCTTCGGCGGGCGTTGCATTCTATACTTCCCAGTACAGGAACCTGCAATCCTGCATCTCGGCAACCCAACTCACGATGCACACACGACAGGCTCCAACCCCCACCGAATTCTTTTGTCTTGTAAGTTGCACCAGGGCAAGTGAAGACATCGAAACACCAAATGATCTCGTTGTCGAGCATTCAACGTGATATGCTTTACACCAGCGTTTCAGTGTTTTGCATTTTAGCAACATGATATTCTATCGGTAGTAAGACAAGCGTACGGAATTTTATCCGGAGTAACTGGAAATGGGTGATGGCCAAAATGATTACTAGTACGCAGCAACACCTTCGGTGTTGTTTCGAGGGAATAGCTCAAGCGCCTGCGGGACCGTCTGCGCAAGGATCTACAGTACCGGTAAACATATTACTTCACCGAATGATCTACTTTCCTTATTTACCCTCATCTCTACTTACTGTTAATTAGGATACTACAGTTATGACCTAATATCAATGGTCATGTCGTTTAGATGCTGTTGGATTACGCATGTACTGTACTATCACGGATTTAGAAATCCATACTAATAGTACTACGTAGTACTAGTGTAGTACTATTCTGTGCTTTTTTATAGTGTACATTTGAGGAAATTTGGCCTATCACGGCGACCCCTGGGCCAAATTGTGAATTTCGATTGGCTGCCGAAAGCTGGCGTTCGTTCTGTTATTTTAACAAAAGCGATTCGATCATAAATGACATACGTAGTACTACGTAGTAATATCAACCACTTAAATAATCACACCCTCCCTAATCTGATCAGCAGATTTTTCCGCCAATTAAATGGATGCAGTGTGTCATCTATAGCTTTTGATTGGTAGGTATCCACCAATAATATCGATGTATTTCGATGAAACACCTGGTTTTGCTTTGATTGGCTGAAAATATTTGTTTCGTGACTCTCATTGGTCAAACCAAATGTACCGGTACATAACTTGTATAAAACACACCCATCTGAGCCAAGCCAAATGTACATTATATTAAAGCACAGAGTAGTACTGTAGTCACTCTTAATAGTACAGTACAGTGAACTTGAAAAAAACTCGCAAGAGTTGTACGCGAAAAATAGTATTCATCTGACCTATGTCGAAGTAATGACGACAAGCGCAAATACTAAAGCAATTCAAAACCTTAGTCTATG